CATGTGGCTTGTAATAAAACAAACAAATAATCTTAGTGATAAGATTTTTATAGATGTTCCCTCATTTCACAGAAGAGGTAGGACCCAGAGAAGGTAAGGTACTTACTAAATATCACACAGCATTTGACAGCACCAGAACTTAAACTCAGGTCTACATCAATTCACTTAATAAACTGTCATCCATTTTCTCAAGAGCAGATGTGAATATGAAATGCAATCATTCACTTAAAAAACGTCAAGTATCTTAGATATATTTGAAATTGAAATCATCTTCTTAAGGTCTTCATTTATAAGGATCCTTCCAAATACTCCACCAGAGACACCTACATCATGAATCAGAGATCAAGGAGCATATATAACTCCTACTGGAACAGTCATGCATGAATTAATCAAAAGTGCATGCCAACATTCTCACCAGAAAAGTTATTATCTAAGATGAAAATAATAGAAGATGCCTAGAAATGTACTGATTATACAGGAAAGTTATAGTAAGAAACCATTAACTGTTAATGAAAATAACAGCAAGGTGCTAAAAAAAAAAAAACCTGAAAAGGATAATGGAAACACTACTGAAACAGTAGGCATAGAGAAGGAAAAACTTCGTTTCAAGATAGAGAAGGGGAAGGCTTTCTGAGACAGAAAGGAAAAAACAGTCAGAAGGGGCAGGCTGGAAGGAAGGAGGGCTCCCTCCTGAACCTAAGACAGCACTAAGCAGGCTTCACTGTCCTAGCAACTTCAGACAGCAGGCATTTAGCAGCTGCAGCCCAGTCTCAGAGCATCCTCCCCAAGGGACAGAAGGTGGCTTGGTGGGAAAAACCCAGTGCCATCATGTGACTTCAAGGGTTGCTCTGCTTCAAATCTTTCCTATTTGGCAGCTGATGCTGGGAATTCTATTACCAAGGAATAAAATCGTTTCCTTTCACAACGAGAGAAGTAATAATCAAATGTTAAATTGCAGCCATGCTTTGCTTAACGACAGAGAAATATTCTGAGAAATGCATCATTAGATTTTTATTTCATTACTAAAGGCCTGATGCACAAAATTCGTGCAAGAGTAGACCTTTCTTCCCCTGGCACCCAGGACCCGGGCTTCCCTTGCAGACCTGGCTTCATCCAGAAGGTCATCCAGAAGGACATCCAGTCTAATTAGCATATTATGCTTTTATTATTATAAGCTAGAGGCCCAGTGCATGAAAATTCATGCACTGGAGCAGGGGTCCCTCAGCCCGGCCTGCCCCCTCTCACAATCCGGGAGCCCTCAGGGGCGGGAGGTGACCTGGCAATCAGGGGAAGGCAACACCCCCATCACACCTCTGCTGTTGCCACTGCCAGAAGTACCAGCCTCGGCCAGCCAGAGGCTTGCCTGCGCCTGGGCAGCCACCATCCACCATCCGAGACTTGCCTGTGCCTCAGGCCAGCCCTGGGCAGCTGGGCAGCCAGCATCCGAGGCTTGCCTGAGCCTCGGCCAGCCTTGCTTTGCCTGAGCCTCAGTCAGTGGGGGATGCAGGAGGACCCGAGGCCCTAGGCGTGCAGAGAGGCCGGCCCTGGCTGAGGAATGGAGGATACTCTCAACGACACGAGTTATAACTCCCAATTTGTTCGACACCACAGTCAGGCTTCAGCTTCAGGGGAGGGAAGAAGAGAGGGATGGGCAGCTCATTGGAGGAGCCTGGGCGAGCTGTCAGTCAGTGGGTGGGGAGGGCTCAGGAGGACCCGAGGCCCCTGGTGGGGCTGAGGGGATTCCAGAGGTAGGCACACGGAGCAGCTGGCCCCGCCCCCACTATGGGTGCTGCCATCTTGTGACAGCATGATGGTCAATTTGCATATTACCTCTTAATTAGATAGGAGGATTGTGTGAGCACTTGTACTCATACAAACCTAGCTGGTATAGCCTACTACACACCTAGGCTATATAATATAGCCAGTTGCTTCTAGGGCTACAAACCTGTACAGCATGTTGCTGTATTAAATGCTGTAGGCAATTTTAACACTATATTTGTTTATCTAAACATATCTAAACATAGAAAATGTACAGTAAAAATATGGTATAAAAGATAAAATATGGGCCCTGGCCAGTGTGGCTCAGTTGGTTGGAGCATTGTCCATGAACCAAAGGGTCATGCGTTTGATTCCTGGTCAGGGTACATACCCAGGTTTCGGGTTCCATCCCGTCAGGGCAAGTGCAGGAGGCAGCTAATTGATGTTTCTCTGTGGCACTGATATTTCTCTCTGGCATCAATGTTTCTCTCTCTCTCTCTCCCTTCCTCTCTCTCTAAAATCAATAAAAACATATCCTTGGGTGAGGATTTTAAAAAAGATAAAATATGGCGCACATGTATAGAAAGGGCACTTACCATGAATGGAGCGTGCAGGACTGAAAATCCCTCTGGGTGGGTCAGTGAGTGGTAAGTGAATGTGAAGGCCGGGGACATTACTGTACACGACCACAGACTTTATAAACACTGCACTCTTAAGCTACACTACATTGATAAAGCAACATGAGATTAAATCAAGTACAAGAGAAAATGTGCACTCAAGAGATAGAATAAACAGGAGGTACGCGAGGCTGCTGCTGGTGTGACACGGCATGCTATCTCACAGCAAACTTTCATGTAAGTAGAAAGCGTATAGTCTGAAATTGGATAAAAACCATTGTGCAGTAAATACATAAACTAGTAATACAGTCGTTTATTATCAAGTACTACGTACTGTACATAATTGTACGTGCTATACTTTTAAAGGACCAGCAGCGCAGTAGGCTTGTTCGCACCAGTATCACCACAAACACGTAAGGAATGCGCCGCACCACAACTTTGGGACAGCGCCTACGTCACTAACCATAGGAATTTTTCAGCTCCATTGTAATCTAAGGCCCCATCGCTGCTGACTGACATGCTGTTGTATAGCACATGACTGTAACGCACTCTCATCACAAACGTAAGAATCCTAGAAAGACAGCAGGTTGTATATTTAAGTGCATAAGGCCAAAGTAACAAGGCAGGGTCTAAACGTTCATGAAACCTGCGCTCAAGATTTCTACACTTAGGAAGGGAAGATCTGTAAGAACGGAAATCAGCTGATTTCTGCAAGGCTAGATTCAAAAATCATAAGAAAGCACACCATGTTACTAGTAAAATAAGTAGTTATCACAGTTATGTAAGTATTTTCAACTTTTGAAACACTAAAACTGATCTCCAGCAGTGAAGAGAAATGCCATTTGTAGACCATTTGGCACCTCCAGCAAGAGTTGGCCCAGCATTTAGCACGCTGAAGTTGGGAAACTTTTTGAAGAGGCATCACGCTCTCGAAGAGGCAAAGAGGCTAGTCCCAAGAACTCAGGCAGGATTTGCAAACCCAAAGGAAGAAGAGCTCACATTTGTTTATACACGGGATGGGAAGAACACAGATAAGTTATAGTTTTCACAAAGCAGTAAATACTGTTATCAGCAGTAGCCTCAACTTCAGAAATTGAATGAATGTGGGCATAAAACATATTTCTTTTACCCAGGTAAGTAACGTAAGTGATAAGAAAATGTTCTAGCATTTGGAAGCACAGTGATTTCAATAAATTTTAAAAATATATTTTTATTGATTTCAGAGAGAGAGCGAGAGATAGAAACATCAATAATGAGAGTCATTGATCAGCTGCCTCCTGCATGCCCCCCACTGGGGATGGAGCCTGCAACCCCTGGCATGTGCCCTGACCGGGAATCGAACTGTGACCCTATGGTTCATAGGTCAACGCTCAACCACTGAGCCACCCCGGGGCAGGCTAATTTCAATACATTTTGCTAAACTCCATCCTTGGGATTATTAACACATGCTTCACAATACAGATCAGATACTAATGATGCCTTTTTCCGGCACACATATACCTCCCCCATGTTGTTGCTGACCTTGTACTTGACATATACAATGATGCTTCCCCTGCATTTGTCCTAAGGATTGCTAGGTCACCCAAAGGCCTCCCCACTTTATGAAAATACTTCACCAGCCATCAGAGGCCAGAGATACCAGTATTTCTGTTCAGTGGCTAAGGCATTCAGAAGCCTCTATTAAGATGTAAATATGTCCTGGGAAAGGTAACCATTCAGCCTTATTATTGATTCATTCGATTATCTATTTTAAAAACACTCTGGACTTTTCTTTTCCTAAAGCCCTAGTCATTAAAAGTGCAGATCCGGTTCCAGCGTGTGGGACAGGAGGTGGCCGGAGCCCCTGAGGGCTTGCTTTACTTCCTATGGAGGATCAGAAGCTCTGACTGGCCTTGAGCCACTGCACTCGCGTCCTCAGTCACTCCTCCTCAGTCACTCCGCCAACTCCGGATCTACAATGCAAACCCCACATTAAGATGCACAATAACTTTATAATGAGATAAAATCCACTGGTCCATGCTGCCTTCCTTCATCTCACTCTTACAGGACTGGCCGCGCAGTAGGTGTGTTCACGCCAGGATCGCCACAAACTACAAATGCGTATTTTTTAAAAGCCAACTCAATGGTTGTGTCCAGTGAAGAGCCACTGACAGATACATAGGAAATTAATCATATTCTTTGAGTACCACTAAATAAATGAGCTCTCCTCGGCCTTAAGACAAACTCTTGAATCCTTCCTTAAGGATTATTGTTAAAGTGTTCAAATTAAAAAAAAAAAAAAAAGACCAACAGTCCCCAATATTTTTTCCAAGGACGTTATACAAAAAAAGAAAAAAAAAGAAAGAAAAGAAAAAAAAATGGCTTTTGATGGCTTTTGTACAACTTCACTCAGGATTCATTCCAGCGTCCAGGTGAGAACCGACCCTTCTCTGTAGCCTGGGAGTGGAGAACACCTCCGAACAAACTTTGTTGGCCACCAGCAGGGGAGCTCTTCAGCTTTTGTCCCCCAAACCCATTCAAACAAAAGAAGCTCCGTCTCCTCCTTCCCACTCCTCCGACCCGCACCCCGCGCGGTCAGCCCGGACCCCCTGGCCCCCTCCGCCCTGCACCGCCCGCGCTACTCACTCCGCAGCGCCCCGATGAGCAGGGAGCCGTCCTTAATCAGCTCCTTGATGAACTTGTTGGTTCGCTCCAGCTCGATCTCGTGACACTGCAGGCGCTCCCTGAAGTCCGGGCTGTCCAAGTAGGAATCGCTGAACTCCAGCGTCGGCAGCCCCATGGCACCGGCGCTGCCCGCGGCCGCCGGGGTCCCGTCGGGGCCGGCAGTCAGGGCGCGAGCGGGGGTGCGGGCGGGCGGAGACCGTGGCCGGCGCTGCGACGCGCGATCGCGGGGGCCGCGCCGGGACGCGAGGGGACTGCGCAGAGGAAGCGGGCCCCGCGCGCCCCGCCGTCGGCGCCGGGCTCCCGTGGCGCGCGGACGCGGGGGGACTCAGGCCGCCCTGGGGGCGAGGCGGGCGCAGGCGCCGGGGGTGGGCGGAGGCGCGGGTCCGCTCAGGGTGTCGCACTGGCGGCGCATGGGCGCAGCGACACCCAGGTGGAGAGCTCTCGGGCCGCGGCGGGAGCAGGAAATTCCCTCGGCCCCCAAACCCTTCCAGTGCTAACCCCCTTCCGTTCACCGACGGGGGTGGCTCGGTGCGCGGGGGACGGCACCCAACAACACCAGCTCGCAGGAGACATACCTCGCCGAAAAAAATATGAT